AAGCAGGGACCATCGACTCGGATCACCGGCTCTGAGGAAGACGAAGACGTCGAAACGTTAGCCGAAAATAAATATATTTATCAACCTCGTGTAAGCTTATCAAGAAAGAATACATATTGATTAATCACACCGAGGTTTAGGGAAGGTCGGTTTCGAAATATGACGTTTCTTCTGTTCATAATAGTCATATTCTCTTTCAATCTTCCAAAAGATGTCCATCACTTGATAAAAGTTCCAAAATAACCAGAACTCCCAAAAAACAGAAGAATCAATAAAAAGAACAGAAGGATTAAAAGCTCTAGTCGTTGATCAACCGTTCAAGCAGACGACGCGCATTCGATTCCACTCATAGCATCGCATTAGTGGTCGACTGTATATCTGGCCTATGCAATGATTTGAAGTGGTTTATCTATCAATCAGAGCAGTGCTACTATCCTTCCAAACAAGTCTGGTACCAATTCAAGGACCCCGGGATAGGCGGGAGGGTTGGTGAACCCAGGGGCGAGATCGGAGACCAGAGACCGATCGGGTGTATACTGAAGGACACCAGTAAACACTTCGCTACACACACTCATAAAAGGGATAGTAGGGTCTTTAGGTTCGCCAAACGTAAGAGCGTTGACTTGACATACAGATGATTTACCTGTGATAAACTTGTAAAACATAAAACTAAGAGGTATAGCACACATAGAAACAGACCAATACCTTAAGGTCCATTAAACCCTAATAGAAAGAGTGATAAAAATAAACCCTTGAACCAATATGGTAGCAAAAACTTGGTAAATATAATTTTAATTCGAACTGGTAATGGTGGTCGGCTGCGATGTACGGTGTACGTGATTACAGACCTACGAATCCTGCCACAATGTTTTATTTGTGAACTGAATTTGAACACAGTACAAGTCCATATTCCATAGCATTCAAAGAAGTTTTTCCTGCGAATTTTAATACCTTCGTGTTAGATTTTAACGTGGATTGCTGTGCAACGCACATGGGCTCAATCCCTGCGTCCCAGGGCCATCCAGCCTTCCATCCCTCCGGGGTTGGCAAATTGGTATCAGACTTGTCTAGGAAGATAGCTCAATAAATCGCTAGGCCATCGCAAGTCATTGTAAAGTCCAGATAGGCGTTTAATAACCTCCAAACGATGTTTAATGAAGTCGCATGCATGGCGCATCTTTCAGGGATTGATCAGCGCCTAAAGCTTTGTCCTCTTATCTTTTACTATTCTTATGTTTTATCTATAGTTCGACTGCTTCTAACCACAGAGAAGATTCTTATATATCTAGGCTACTTTCGAGGTTACACAGCAAAATGGCTGCATTTCAAATTCCCGGACTGGATTACGATAGCGAGGGGAGTTCACCAGAACCAGAAGAAACGAAACCAGTTATGGTATGCTTTTGAACGAACCACACATTGAGATAACGAGCTATAGAAAAGGTTTCGTACTCCGTAGAGTATTTTGACGACTTCGTTTTAGAAATTTTCCGGATGAATCCTGCCTTTGTTGCGTACGAATCTTTTCATAACCGTTTTTCCTGATTAATTCGAGATTTTGTTGATGCTAGGTCACATAAAGAAGTAGATTGCCTTACAGAGTCTAGCCAGTAGTAGCCTTTCTGGGCTGCTCATTATGGGTTTGACGCCATTTTCAATAGTTACTTTCAGGTCCACGAATGTACTATCATATGTTCTTTTTTATAGGATAATCATATGTGCATCGATTGTTACAGCATTGCAATGAAAATTGTACAGCAACCACGAGGAGCTCCTGTACCCGACAAGTATCTTGTCGTACATGAACTCACAAGTTCGTTCTCCATCTCTTTTTTACGAGTTGCCCTGTAATATTTTAGAGTAGTTAGAGCTACTCCTTCCAACGGTTTACCGCCTGATCGCAACAAGGTGTTTCTCGGTGTCGGACTGCGATGTACAGCGGAGAATTCATCCCCCAACAGGGTCTCCTAAGCTGAGGAGTTCGGATTTTCCACCAGGGAGCCCAGCTAAGAGTAAACCAACACCAAGATCCACCACCGTCTTGGTATCAAACTAGTATCGTGAAAATATCCCTCTGATCCACAAAGGGCTGGGACTGGAGGGTGACAAGTATCTTGTTGTACATGAACTTACAAGTGTGTTCCACATTTCTTTTTTATGAGTTGAAGAACTGCCGTTCAATACTTTAGAGCAATTAGAGGCACCATAATGTACCCGGAGTTTTGCAAATATCGCAACATCATCATGGTTAAAGCCACTGTATTTTAGCAAATAACTTAAATGTTTCTGGTGTTTGACGTATTGCTTCATCATATTCTTACAGGCGAAGAAATGGCTTCCTTTGGCATTACTCTTAAGGACAGCGACATCGATCATGATGGCGACGATTTCATACGTATGCATTCTAATTCATTCCATTTTACCATTGTGGCATATACATTATATATATACATATTTGTAACTATATGTATAAACGCGTGCATATGTATACTTGGATGGCCCGCACTCGCGCGCAGGTCACAGCACATTTTCTGTTTTTCGGAGTTTTGCTGGTTTAATCACTGTATTCCCTGGAGTCCCAGGATCAGCCAGACCAAGGTCTGCTGCAGGCCGTCACCACCAGAGGCAGTCACAGCCCTTGTTGATCAGAGAGATGCCACCATGCTACTAGTTTGATGCCAGGGCAGTGGTGGATCCTAGTATTGGTTTACTCTTAACTATGCTTCCTGATGGAAATACCGGACTCCTCAGCCTGGAAGACCGTGCCGGGGGGACGAATTTCCCGCTGTACATCGCAGCCCGACACCCAGGAATACCTCCTAGCCACGATGAGGCGGTAAACCGTTGAGAGTTATATATGTATATATACATGTATATATTTATATATGTGTATAAAAGCCTTTTTGAATTTCACATTTGACAACTGTGACAGTATTGTTGTGAAATTTGCAGATTGTGATAGGTGTAACTGCTACTATCGAGCCTCATGCAAAGAGCATCCTTTGTTCTGGGTCAAAGACCGTGAACCTGTAAGTTCTTGTTGTATTTTTTTAGTTTTTATTAGTTTCCAGTGTTAACTAAATGCGTCTTAAAATTTGTAGGCAAAAAGTTCGAAGCCAGAGGACCGGGCCAGAAATACAGCACCGGCGTTCATAAGCATCAAGACATCGTCGATTCCTAACGCTGGGTTGGGTGCTTTCGCTGAAGCTTGCATTCCGGTTTGTTTTTAGGGCTTTGATTACTGGAGCTAGCGCCGTTGTTAGTGATGTAGTTCATCAAGAAGCAAGGTGCTGGTTGGATTCCCTCCTGAAAGCTCTCCCCCATTCCATATGGGAACGCCTTATCCCGTATCTCCAAGAATGTAAGGACAGTCGACTCGACCAGCATTCTACGACATTCATAAAGAAGACGAAATCTTCAAGCAGCAGCCGAAACAGTATGCAAAATGCTGGAAAACCTTTGCTGACAATGAATGCGAGGAACAGCAGATCAAATGGAAGATGTGCTGGGGTCTGCATAGTAGATGTGATGACGGGTTATGTAAAAAGTGAAACAAAAAATTTTATCACTTCATTGTGGATTGGTTCAAGAAGTATTCAGTTCAACATTTTATCATTAGTATTGCAGTATATATAAATACACGAAATCATGTTTATTAGAAAGGTAACTTCAGGTAGGTATGGTTTTTGGTCCGTATCAGGGGATTTTAATTGACGATGCTTCTGAAGCAGAGAAAGACGGATATTGCTGGGAGCTTAGGTAAAGTGTTTAGTGATTAATTGCAAGTAGAAATGCTTATATATATATATACATGTGTGTATATGCACATATACATACATATGTACATATGATGTAGAAGTGCGTATATGTATCTATACATATATAAATATATATATATATGATATAGAAATCGCTGTATTCGCAAATTTTTCCAAAAGTCTGGTAAGACCGCGTTTACAGAAGTAGCGACGGCCCACATTTTATGGATGGTAGTAATACGCAATATTCAAATTGGATGAGGTACATCAACAGTTCGCGACGTGAGTTTTAACCCAATTTTTAATCGAAAGGCAGCCTTTTCTACTTTCTCCTCCTTTCCAATTTACATTTACTCCTTACTTATTTATCTTCTTGATATTTGCACCAGCACCATGTACATCCACACTCTGGTTTAGAATAGAGCTAAAGTTTTCTGCAGGAGAAATACAATAGTGTTCTTGGTTTCGCTGTTTATACAGCCCACGTCTTTGACCTACTCATCAAAGAAGTTCTGGCTCAACTAATCCTATAAACTCTTGTAAATTTAGCACTTAAGCTCAGAGTTAATTTGATTTCCATTCACCGCGTAGGAAGGTATCAGCCACTTCATACGTTAAACCAACATGTTTCAGCGCCAACTGAGCTTTGTTAATTGCAATAAGATGTATTAGGATCCACGAATTCTTACCTACAAGATAAAAGCTCGCTTTATTTAGCACGATGAGACTTATTGTCGGGAGCCAACTGGACGTATTTTGTGCAGTTTCTTTATCAAGACTCGTATTTAGAAAATGAAAGTAACTGAAAAGACGATGTTTTGTCCAGCAAAGATATCTTCAAATGCGCTACTGATTTTGTGACTATCGAGATTTCGTCGGGCACTTTACAAATTCAAATTTCGTTCCCATTTTTTAAAAGAAATTTTGGTTCTGAGCAACTTTACAGGCCAAGTAACAGTTTCAAAGAACTATAAAAAGGATAAAATCTCTTGGTCTGGATGAGTCCTTGAGGGGTGCGCCATGTTTTCGACTTTATTAGGTATCGTTCGAGATGATTGAATGCATATCTGGCCTTTATAATGATTCGCGGTGGCCTACCGTTGTATCGAGCCAGTCCTGCTATCCTCCCCGACAAGTCTGGTACCAATTTACCGACCTCAGAGAGATGGAGAGCTTGGTGAGTCTTGGGTCCGGCCATCGGCCCCATCTGTATTGCAGAGCGCCTCCGACCACTGCGTTACACATGCCCTTTTAAAGAACCATGCCTACACTTAAATAGATAGGGCAAAATCATGAGATGTTGGTATTTCCAACGGCGCAATCGTGCTAGTTGTCAAAAAACTACCGGTAGTTTTCCAAAAACCAGTTTCGGTCCCGAGGTGTTGAAGGCTTGAGGCGTTGAAACATTACTGCACGTTGTAACTGTATGCTTATTCAGAACTCGCAAATTAGATAATTTTATTTCAGACGACAAGGAACAAAACCTGTTGGCATTTCAGTATTGTGGTGGCGTGTACTACCGAGTGATACGACCGATCAAAATGAAGGAAGAGCTCCTAGGTGGGAAGAGTCGCTGCCTCCGTATTAAACGTTCCCGTTGATCTTTTCTTTCGCTTAACTTTTATTTCCTATACTTATGAAACTCTTAGAGCGTACTGTCCTTTGTCACTGTAGTTTATTCTTCGTTTTTTTTTTTTTTTTTTTTTTTTTTTTTTTTTTTTTGATAAATATCCGTTATTGGGTTGACCTTAGTCCGACTCATAGAGTTACAATACATTTGGACAAAACATTTCATGTGATGGTTTCAGTCCGGGTATGTATAGTAGTGAAATTAGTTGTCATTTTTCACAATAGGTTAGGTATAGATTGACTGATATCGTTCTTTCCCATAACTTTCGATCCTTGTGCGTTACTACTAATTTTCAAAAAATAAACATTTATGACCAATTGGATTCATGAACAAAGTGCTGTGTCACCATCTATCGTATTTTCCTTTTAGTGTGGTACGGTAAGAAGTTCGGCAAAAGTCTTGGAGTTTTCACTACGTTGCGTTCGCTGAAGAGGCCGAGCACACCAGCTAACAAGAACCCCTTCATACTTTAACTCTTGGTACGTTTATAGCTAGGGAATAGGCGGTGGCACAGCATAATTACCAAAGAAACAAGAGAAAAACAAAGTGTCCAGTGGTTCTGAAATGCATTAGAACTGTTCGCTTCCATCGTTGTGTTGTGGATGTTGAGCAGCCTGAAAGCTGAATGATCTAAACAGAAGAAAAGAAAGACATCCCTTCCATTTGCTTTGATTCAAGTCAAAAATACTTATATAATGACGTGAGAATCCCTTGATATAAGTGGTAGGATATCTAACTTTTCATTAACAAGTTTATTGTCCGACTATGGGCAAAGGGAGTTTTCGTATGCAGCTTTGAGGATAGCTAATTTCCGAACAAGCGTATTTTGCTGGAAACTAGAGCACTGTGGGACACATAACCTATAGTTAGATCCTGTTGAAATCCTATGCAGTGATAAGCGAAACACTGAAAGGACTAAACTGTGCCCACCTCTGACGTTACACGCTGTCTTTCAATTCGTTTCTTTTCCAACATCGCAATACCGTTGGCAATACGTTCTTCTGGGGATACGCTATCCAAGGAGATGAAACTAACTTGTTTATTATCGCTTCTTTTCTGTAGTTTCACCGGCTTTAGGCAGTAACCGCGTTCTGCAATAGCTGCACATATGGAAGTTATATATATGTAGGTCTTTTCTTGTTTTCTGTCATAAAAGTATTCATCTAGGACTTTATGATTGTTGCGCTGACGCAAGTAAGTTGACTTTAGTAATTAGTGATTAATCTATTTCATACTAGCATAGGCCACCTGTAGCGCAGAGGTCGGAGGCGGCCTGCATTACACATGGCATTGATCTCTGCACCTCAGGCTCACCAAGCTCTCAATCTCTTCGGAGTTGGCAGATTGGTACCAGACTTGTCTGGGAGGATAGCAACACTGGCTCGAAACATCATTAGGCCACCGGTATTCATTGTAAAGGCCAGGTATGCATTCTGTCGCCTCCAACGATGCTTGATAAAGTCGAATGCATGGCGCATGCCTTTGAGATTCATAAACGCCAAGAGCTTTACCGTTTTTATCCACACCAGCATAAGCAAAAAATTCGTCCAGGGAATGGAATAGAATGAATTGAAGAAATTCTCGACTTACCGATGATTGAGAATCGTTCATTGAGCGTAACGTGACGATTCGAATAGTTCTGAGCTCGTTCAGGCAGTTTGATGAAGTTTTTCTGAATCGCAGCACGACCCTCGATCGGTTCGATCACGTAAGTTACGGCAGTCATGTTCAGTTTATCTTGGATTTTGTTCGTGTTCAGAATAGCAGAACTTAAGCAGTCATATTAACTACGTCTAGTACCTTAGCAACTTAAGGGAAGCTTACTTTTGCAAGCGTTTAGTCGGCATTAGGAAGCAAAGAAATTGTATGTTTATGATCACCATTTTCAGATCGATGGTTTGATTATGGCGGCACTGTGCTCATTTACTGGTACGAAGATAACCATGTTGTGATAACTGTCTAGTACTAAACTACTTCCTAAACAATAGAAAACCCAGTTACTAGTATGTCCCTGGTGTTTTGAACCGGGTTGATTATTCTTTCATTTTTGTATGTTGGGCTACACATCGACTCGAAACACGTATTTAACCCTGTATTATTCAATTACTGGTGTTGAGCTCTGTGAATTTGCTAAAGAAGATTGAAGCTGATGAAATAAAACTCTCGACAAGGTCCTATAGATTGAAAAGCTGTACTTATAACAGTGTAATATCTCCTTCTTTAAAAGAGTAAAGTAAAAAGTTATTGTTATATGAAGTAAGAGTTACAAAGTAAAAAGCAGTATGAGAAAGTAATAAGCAGTTAGTCGAAGTGGGCAGAAAACGCCTACGAGGTTAGGCAGCGCACCATGAAATGGTCAGGTTTAAATTTCGCGCGCTCCCGCCATATTACTAAAGTTTAAAACTGGTTTACTGTTCCATTTTAGGTTGTCATGCAGTGGACCTTATGCATAAGCGGAATTTCCGATTGTCTAATGCAGCCGTGGAATTTGTGTGTTCCACAGATTGTTAGCAGCTTGTGTATGGAAAAATATATGGAAAGGAGGGCGCGTGTGGAGCAGCAGTCGGAGGCGCCCTTCAATACACATCAGATCGATCTCCGTGTCCTAGGGCCACCACACCTTCAATCTCTCCGGTGTCGGCAAATTGCTAGCAGACTTGCTTGGGGGATAGCACCACTGGCTCTATACGTCGGTAGGCCAATGCAAGTCATTATAAAGGCCAGATATGCATTCAATCACCTACAAACGTTGCTTAATGAAGTCGATTACGTGGCGCACTCTTCGGGAATTAATCAAGGTCGAGAGCTTATTTTATCATTTATGCGGCAAGAAAGGATTGCATTAGTGAATCCGTTGCTATTTCTGCAAATGGTTTTATTTCGGAGGAGCAACTTAGCTGATGTACCAGAAAAGGTTCGTACTGCCTCTATCATCCAGAGACACGAATTTGGGTAAAGCATTTGCTGTTGGAACTATTTGAGGGCTTAGGCTTCAGTTTGCTCCAGCTGTTTTACTATGTGGTGATAGGTCTTCCTGAAGGTACATAAGTTTTATTGGAACATTAGTGGAGAAAGAAACTTCAGTGTGGGCGGAGGTATGATGAGGTGTCGGGCTGAAGGCGAATAAAGAAGGAAATCTAAGTCGTAACTATTTTCACAAAGAACTTTTACTAGCTTTACTTCTACTATTGGTATTTTTGTTCTTCCTGCCAATGGTTTATCACCTCATCTTGGCTGGGAGGTGTTCCTGGATGTCGCACTATTATGTACAATGGGTGGCTTCATCACCACGGAAGGGTCTCCTGATCTGAGAAAGAGTCCGACGTGTCCATCAGGAAGCCTAGCTAAGAGTGAACCAGTACCAGGATCCATAACCGTCCTAGTATCAAACTAGTCGCATGCTAGCAAATCTCACTCTGATCCACAAGGACGGTAACTAGCTGTAGTGGTAACGATGTGGGGCAGACATTGGCCAAGTTGGTCTCGGGGCTCCAAGAAAGCACAATGGCTAAACCAGCAAAGCTCCGAAAAATGGAGATGATGCTGGGGCCCGCACAACCAGTGAGGACGAACCGTCCAAGTTTTTGCTCTTGCTTTTACTATTTTCCTTATTTTACTGCTGCATGTGAGAAAGTATCGTTTGGCTCTTCATCTACCTTTCAACGTTCTTGCCAATATGATTTGATGGTTTATTCCAGATTTCTTGGGTTGCTTAACGCAGAATGAGCTTCGCAGGTCGCCGCCCTATGCTCATTAAGGAATTACCACCAACGGCCCGGTGAGTCCTGTTGCAGTTGTTTTTCCTTCTATTGTGAAGGCTCTTTCTTTGTTGAGTTCGTTTGAAGAAATCTAATTGTTTGCTGTTAAGAAATATTGGTTGTCTTTGAATTCCTAGTGAAATGTAATGAGAGGTCGGAGGTCTCAGTTAAATCAGGATCTGTGTTCCACTTTTTTTTTTAAAAAATGTTCCGTCTGGAAGCTATTTCAGAAGAAGGTATACTTTGGAAAATGGATTTGGAACATCTAAAGACTTTGTAGGAAGGGCTTTTTGTCAGTAATAATTCCGAGGACGGACTTTCTATTGACCCCGGCATTGACCAATAAGTTAATGTTTTANCTTCTATTGTGAAGGCTCTTTCTTTGTTGAGTTCGTTTGAAGAAATCTAATTGTTTGCTGTTAAGAAATATTGGTTGTCTTTGAATTCCTAGTGAAATGTAATGAGAGGTCGGAGGTCTCAGTTAAATCAGGATCTGTGTTCCACTTTTTTTTTTAAAAAATGTTCCGTCTGGAAGCTATTTCAGAAGAAGGTATACTTTGGAAAATGGATTTGGAACATCTAAAGACTTTGTAGGAAGGGCTTTTTGTCAGTAATAATTCCGAGGACGGACTTTCTATTGACCCCGGCATTGACCAATAAGTTAATGTTTTATTCTGGAGAAGGCACGAGGATCTTAGTGCGAAATTTATTCAACAGTGGCTAATATCTCTGTGGTTGTCCCTTCTTCAGAAATTGAAGGGTCAAATTGACACGTAGTATACTCAGGCAAACGCATCTGTAATCTCAATAGAAAAACTCAATATCCAAATTTCAATCGCATGACGAGCACTTTTTTTAAACATTCACCGTTTCAAACTCTGGATCGCAGGAGTCTGCGGTGGAAATCAAACACGCTATTAGCTTTCCGGGGGCTAGATAGAAAAACTAACTGAGAAAAAGGCGAACCGAAGGAAACGCATGGTGTGGTGATGAACCCATTAGCTCGCGGAAATGGTAATAGCGCGTTCGATCCTCACCATAGAAACCTGCGGTACGCAGTTTTGCAAATGTCTCAGCCTTATTGTGGTAATTCACATAACACCTTGCCGTAAAAATTGTAGGAGACAGTAAATAAAAAGGTAACATTGTGGTTTTGACACACCATCTTGTTGTCTATAAGTCTTCCAGTCATAAGCGGAGGCCAGCTGTGTGGAGTGTTGTATAAGTGAAGAATGTGCCTAACTCGTCTGACGGTAGTTATTTTCATAGACCAAAGCGTTTAAACGCTAGTAAAATTTCTTCCATACTGACCTGGATACTTGTACCGCCCGCCCTCACTGGTTGTGCGGGCTTCAACACGTTCTTCATTTTTCGGAGATTTACTGGTTAAGCCATTCTTTGGAATCCCGAGGTCAGCCTGGGCAAAGTCTACTCTAGGTCTTCACCACCACAGACAGTCGCAGCCTTTGTGGATCAGAGAGAGATTTGCTACCAAGCGACTTTGATACAAGGGCGGTGGTGGATCTTAGTATTGGTTTACTCTTAGCTAGGCTTCATGATGGAAAAGTCGGACTCCTTCTCACCTTGGAAGACCATGCCAGAGGGGTGAATCGCCCCGCTGTACATCGCGGCCCGACACCCAGGAACACCTCCGAGCCGCGATGAGTCGTATACTTTTGGGAAGAAATTTCTTCCATAGGTACTACATTTCAGTCTCCTGCACTTCCTACTGATTTCTTTACATGAATAGTTCGCAACCGTGACAAATGCAGTTGAACCCTGGCTAACTTGGAAATCTTTTTAGTTCGTCTGCGAACGTTCGAGGCCAGCGGTCGCGCGATAATACACCACTCTCATGGAATGAGTTCTTCGATGACTGTTGCAGTGTTGACGTTGACGGTGACACCTTCAACGTCTATCGTAAGGTATGCCATGGCTCACTTATTAACGCGTATGCTCCTGAAGTAGGTTCTCCTTCTTTCTGTCTTTCTTGCACTTTATAGCACTTTTGGTAGACATGTTTAGGGAACATCTGGTCCAGTATTTTACCTCTTGCATGGTGGCGGATACTCAGGATTAACTTGGGCTTGTCTTACTGTAAGTTAGCGTACTAGTTTTTATACTGAACTTTAAGGCACCAAGCTGATGTAGTTGTTCAGTCCTCAGCTTAGATGTTTTTCCAGCTTCAATTATAGTGGAATTTTTTGTGTTATTTTTACTATTAAGAGGCGATAATCGTCCGGAAACGTCCAGATTTCAACAGCAAAGTTTCTAGACACCAAGGGTGTTGTTGGGTGATTTATGATGTTGTAAAAGACGTAGGCTCAATTTTCAAACTCGTTTTTGTGTTTGTTAGGGATTTGGAGTTGGTGGGGATTTGGTTTCGGAAATGGTTTTGTTTTTCAAGGTTCTACATCACATCTATCTATAAAATATTGCAACCTTAACCACTTTTGCATTGAAAACTGACCTGATTCCCTATAATATTCCACTATTTCAATGATTGAAATGTATTGAAATCAGTGTGATGCATATAATAATGAAAGAAATATGTTTAGGCAGAACTTAGCTCTCGCATTCAATGTCAAATATTAGCGCCTGATCTTCGTGGGCACGGTCAAACGCGTGTTAAGGACAAGTCAGATTTGTCAGCTCAGCAACAAACGAGGCATAGTTTATTTTTCAGTCACTGTAGTTTATGCGACAAGAGACCTTTCGCTATAAAACCTTATTGGGTATCCGCTGTCTTATATTACGGTTGCATGTGGCACAGTGGCCGGAGGCTTCCCGCAACACACATAGAATCGATCCCAGCGCCACATGATCACCGTGCCTTCCATCCCCCTGGGCTCGGCAAATTGGTACCAGACTTGTCTGAAAGGATGGGAGCACTGACTCGGGAAATGAGTAGGCCACCGTAAGTCATTGTAGAAGCCAGATATGCATGCAGTCACCTCCAAGCAATGTCTAATGAAGTCGAATGCATGGCGCATCTCTCAGGGATTGATCAACACCTAGAGCTTTATTCTTTATTCTTCTTTATGCTATTATGCTATAATTTAGTTTCCATTATGTTCTCATCTGTACTATTATTTACTCAGTTTTCTACGTTTACTGGCTACGAGGGCGCGCAACACATTGGTTAGAGATGCTCTGCTAGGCATACTGGATCGTTACGTTGTTCGATTTTGCGCCTTTAGCTCACCTATCTTTTCATCCCTTCAAGGTCGGAAAGTTGTACCAGACTTGTCTGGGAAGATAGAAATACTGGCTTGATATATCGGCAGGCCAGTGCGAATCATTTTATGGGCCTGATTTGCAATCAGTTACCGACAGGACGATGATTGATGTAGTCGAGTGCGTGGTGCATCCCTCAAGGATTAGTCGACACCAAACGCTTTATCGTTTTGTTATCCTTTGCTTTCATATGTCTACTAATTCAAGTTTTTTGCAGGTTTAATGAGGTGTTTATTTCTTCGGCCAGCAAAAAATCGTTATCTACAATGCTGTAGAAAATAAATAAAGATAGAGCTCTCGGGATTGATCAACCTCTCAGAGATGCGCCATGCATTCGACTTTATTCGGCATCATTGAAGGTGATTGAATGAATATCTGGCCTTTATAGTGAGTTGCGATGGCCTAGCGATATTTCGAGCCAGCGCTGCTATCCTCGTGGAGAGGTTTGGTATCAATTTCCCGACACAAGAGAGATTGATGTCTTTGTGAGCTTGAGGTGCGGGGATGGATCCTATGTATAAGCCAGGGCGCCTATGACCACTGTGCTACACTCACTCTTTGTCATGTCATAGCCACTGAAAACAATTGGTTTTCCTTAATTTAAAATTCAAATGCTTCCGACAGTTGAGCTGCCATTCACCGTATTCTATTCCTCGTAAGGGTTAATACCAGTGAAAGATCTGCAGTTATATTTAAAGCATTTTTTGTACTAAAAGTCATAAAGAAGACAAATGAGGTTCGTTTTTTAAATTTGCGCAATTCCATTTTATTAATAAGACGATGACGTCATCTTACAACATTACAATCAGGTTGGTAAATGGTTGCAACGAATTTACAAACGTTGGCAAGAACTTAATTGACAAAGGAATTATTTTAAAAATGTAAAACGTTGGGAAACGAAATGATTGTAGTAAATACGAACCGGTTATGAAGCAGATCAGAACTGGATGTCCTTCTGAGATCCATCATCTGTAAGAATTATGAGAATTAGCACGATTACATTACTAGAGCATGATTACATTACTACTACCAAGAAAGATGAAGGGCTTGGTTGACCTGGGGCACTGAGATCGACCCTTTTTTTCCAGGGCGTCTCTAACCACTGCGCTACTCGCCTCTTCCAATGCCATTGTTTCTATATTTCACGACCTTTTTAATCCCTTTACTTGTATTGGTATTGCTGGGCGCCTGTGGCGCAGTAGTCGGAGGCGCTTTGTGGCACACGCATACACGTGGAATCGATTCCCGCGCCCATGGGCCATCAAGCCTTCCATTCCTTCGGAGTCGGTAAATTGGTACCAGACTTGTCTGGGAAGATAGCAGTACTGGCTCAATACATCTGAAGGCCATTGCGAGTCATTGTAAGGGCCAGATATGCATTCAACCACCTCCAAACGATGCTTAATAAAGTCGAACGCATGGTGCATCAATCAGGGATTGATCAACGCCGAAAGTTTAATCCTTTTATTTTACTTCTATTGCAGTACAGTTTTAACAATGCAGACAGAGCAGTTTTTTTTTTATTTTTCTTCAACATTTTCCATTCATGTGTTTGCATTTGTATGGAAAGGATATTTTATTACATCCCTCGCCTGTGTTAAGCTCGCCATCAAAACTTCCCCGTCAGCACTTTGTGTTGCGGGACGAGCAAGTTCGCTTAAAAAACATTTTTTTAACTACTAATAAATTTCCCGTATATCATATTACTTAGAATCTTGTGTTTTGGCCTTAAAACATATCCATCTTTTTCCAGAGATATCATCAATATCTACAATTCCGTTTTTGGTAATGGAGACAACGAGCCGCCATTTGCTTGTTTAGTCGGTCACAGGTTGGTTTTAGTTTCTTTTCCCTGACTACTTGATGGATTTTCCTTCCTTCTTTGTTTTAACCCGTTCCTGGCAGCGTCTGATTTTCTCTATTGGGTGAATTGGAACGATGCCTATTTCTTCGCAGCTCGCCGTGGACTTTGACTTCAGTGCGCAGCGTGTATTGTAATTCCTTGCAATTTTCTCCCCTCCTCAGAAGGGAACTTACATCCCATCATCATTAGCAACCGTTTTTTGTTCCATTCACTAAGTACAACAAAACAAGGAAGAGCGCGTGGGTCTTGATGTATTTGTATTTGTACACCAAGGATGTTCGATTACACTCCTCACCTATTGCACTTTCGTAGTCGTAGATTTTTCAGCATTAACACTTTAGGTTCCAGGGCAAACAGTTTCGTCCGAAGATCATTTCGTTTGTTAGTTGTTCAGTGTAGGTAGATGGAAAGAAATTGTATTGGGTCCCACGCGCGCTGTCCGTATTGTCTTCCTTACCTCCTCTGCATATGTATGGTGATAGCAATCCACATGTGCTAATTAATTTAAACAAATACTATTTTTATTGCAGCATGGGCGGTGCTCTGGCTATTCATGTAGCAGCTACCACTGAAATCCCAAATATGGTGGGATTAGTTGTTATTGATGTTGTTGAAGGGTCGGCTATGGATGCACTTAGCGGCATGGTAATTCTTCTATGTTTGACGTAATCCCTTTCTGTTCTTCTCTTTCTCTCTAATCTCTTTACGTATCAGTGCTTGTCAAGAAGTTTGACGACAGAAGACAGCACCTGCAAGACAAAAAGAAACTTCTTGAAACCACATAAATTATACTGCTAACATTGGAAGACATTATCAAATGATCTGACAAGTTGTGGCATATTACTCTTGTCTACGATTGGCACCATAAGGGCGCGTGTAGCGCAGTGTTCGGATCCGCCTTGCAATATGCATGGGATCGGTCCCCTCTCCCAGGCCCACCAAGCCTTCTTTCCATCCGGACTTGGCGAATTGGTACCAGATTTGTCTGGGAGAACAGCAGCACTGGGTCCATACATTGGTGGGTCACCGCGAGTCATTGTAAAGGCCAGATATATAATATGTATTCTGTCACCTCCAACGAACCTTGATGAAGTCGGATGCTTGGCTCATTTCTCAGCGATTGATCAACTCTGAAAGTTTTATCATTTATTTAGCTTTACGATTGCCACTGTAGCGTTCGTATGAATGTATTACTGCTTCTTATGGGATTCTATCTTTATTTCTTCATTTATCTCTATCCTCATGTTTTAGTTAACGTTCCTCCGTGGTCGACCGGCTGTATTCGATTCCGAGGAGAAGGCTGTAGCTTGGTGTTTGCAGTCTGGTACAACCAAAAATCGGCAAGCGGCACGCATATCTATGCCTTCCCAAATAAGAAAAATGGATGATGGAAAAGTTCTCAGTTCTTATACGTGCTATTTTTTGCCTATATGTTTTAGAATAACTTCCACAAAATTCTTTCAGTACACATGGCGAATCGACTTGACGACAACGGAGCCATTTTGGGTGGGCTGGTTTCAAGGATTGTCGTCGAAATTTCTGTCGTGTTTACCTCCAAAACTGCTTGTGCTGGCTGGAATTGATAGGCTCGACAAAGAACTTACAGTTGGGATACTGTATTATATTAATGTTGTACTTATTACTATTTTTTTCATTAGTTGAGTCCTTTCCGTCTTTTCTGAACTGCGAAAGAAGTAACTGAGTTGCAAACAGCTTTATTTTGAGACATACATCTTTGTGCGCGTCGTAGTTTTACCATTTGGGACTCGCTTGTACCACGGTAAAGCGTTAAAATTAAACTGGTGCATGAGGTTTTTCAAGTTCTATTCAACGGTGGTAAGTTTATACGTCAAATGTATCCGTGGATAAATTGTCCGTCCTTCGAGTTTAGCCAAACGTACTTGGGTACCTGAATGGCCCTTCTTCACTGGTTGTGCAGGTCCCAGCATAGCCTTTGTGGTTCCCAGAAGTCCCGAGGTCGGCCAATCCAAAGTTTTCCTCAAGTCGTCACCACCACAGGCAATGGCCGCCCTTGTGGATCAGAGAGAAATTTGCCAGTATGAGACTTTGATGCCAGGACGGTGGTCGATCCTGCTCTTGGCTTACTATTAGCTAGGCTTCCTGATAGAAACGCCAGACTCCTTAGCTTGGGAGACCCTGCCAGGGGACGAATCTTCCCGCTGTACATTGCAGCCCGACACCCAGGAACACCTCCCAGTCACGATGAGGCGGTAAACTGTTGGGAGGTTTGGTAAAGCATTACTAGCAATCTCGTTTGTAAAAGGCAATACAAACGTGGAGTTTAGCAACTCTTCATATGCATCAAGTCGAGTTAAGTCTACAATATATGTCCAAGTCGCTGTAAAGGGTGCTGTATCAGATTGCATAGCATAATTAATTTTTGCTTTTTGTCCTGAAAAATCATAGGATTGAGTAATTGGATGAGCATATGGTTCTAACTATGCGCGCTAACTGCCTTAGAAATAAAGTCTACAGAGAAAAATAACGGAACAGATTAAAATTTGGCAGTAAGTACACTAATCGCTTCGAGTAGTTGAAATTTTTACGAAACAGGGTGTTCTAAAATGGGCATTTTTCGGCGACTGCTTAGCTCTTGTATACAATTACAGATTGCTCAAATGCAAGGAAAGTTTCAAAATACTATCCTACCGAAAGTTGGTCATGCAGTTCAAGAGGACAGTCCTGATCGGTTGGCTGACGAGTTGGCTCGATTCGCGATTCGCAATAGGTTTGCCGAAGCTCTCCCAGGTGTGAACATAGCAGCTGCTCGCCCAATGATGGGAATGGGAATGATGATCTAGTGGTTAAATTGGTTCCTAGTATGTATTCGTTTTCTTTCTTCGGTGTCTTCTACCTCAATACTATAGGGAATCTTGTACATTGC